AATTTAAGAACAGGAACCTATATAGTATGATCTTACAATACTTCCTTCAACAAAATTTCAAAGGCTTAATTTAATTTTCACTACGGCGTATTGTGACGTTTTTTCAATAAACATCCGCACAAATCTTCCGTTTTAATTATACAAACTTCCTTTGTCAGCTAGACTGCACTTAAGTAAATTTTACTTTTCAAATAACAAGCCTGTGTCTCACTACGAAGAAAACACTAGAACGTGGTTGCTTCTTAATAAGCTCAGTGGATGTTTAAGCGCTGAGTTGCCAAAAGAGTTCAACCTTCCTCCGGTAGGATTTCAAGTTCAAGTTCAAGTTTGAAAACTTCCTCAAAATGACTTTACGTCACTGAGTCAAGTGGCAAGCAGCATAAAGAAATATTTGTTTTTTGGTAGCTACATGCATGTGATCATGCAATTAGAGTGTTCAACTTTGAACCTTCCTCACAAGCCTCATTCAAACAAACCTTCCTCCGCATGGTACCCGCGTACCCGCAGCTTTTTTGCAAATCTGGTTAAGCGATCCCTTAGATAATTAGACCAAAATTTGAAGGCTAAAACTCGGCACCAGGAACGAAAACATACCCTAAGTGGTTCAGTATGAAGGATGTTTGGCTTATGGCGATTTAGATTTATTCACTATATCATTGAAGACCATCAGATAATGATGAGATAAACGTAAAATATTATCATGTGAAAAATCTGCATAAACGTTATGTTAATTCACGGCTGAAATTATTTAAATACGATAGTGTTTGATAGTGTATTTTACAGAGACTTTTAATGCCTTCAGTCAATGCATCTCTGCATTTTTGGAAAGGAGAAGGGGGGGGTGGCGTTTGCCCGACAAAAAGATATGGGCATTACTGAGACAAATCGACCCAGAAATGGTGATTTTTATGCAATTCAGAGAGTGAAAAATATCGCTTGTTAGTAGTAAGTTGTCCTATTGACAGGATACTGTCAAGATTACTATCAAGAACCCAGAACTTCTCGTCAGCGCGAAGGAAGAGTAACGTTGTGTTAACTATTGTTTGGCAGAAAAAGCAAACAGAGTTAATTCTTCGTTTACTTTGATGGCATTTTTCATGAGAGCACCTTTAAAAGACAATACGAGAGATAAACGACTGGGGCCGGTTGTATCAAGCCCGTTTCAGCTTAAACCGGGCGGATAAGTCAAAATTGATAACACTCTTACGTCTCTCTTGAATGAGTCAACTTGAATATTATGCAGTAAATATGCACTAAATATGTAGTTTTAAACAGTATCTTTGTATTAGGGTTAAAAGCATTTAGTTTACTTGTTGAATAAAACGATAGACGTACGTACTTTCAATTTTGAACTTAACCATCGTTTAAGCTAAACGGGCTTGATACAACCTGATGCATGCATTCCAAACTGCAACGTTGCCCAGTATAAAAGTATGAGGACAATCTGAGCGAAAATATTCCCGACATTTAAAAAATGTGATGTATCGTGATCATTTTAGATAAGAAATTATGAAATAACCATGCATGTATGCATCACCTGAGGAACAAACCTCAAAGCTACAATCCAGTCTCAATCCAGTTCAGTTAGTTAGTTGGACATGCTCACATTCAGTTCAAAGCTGTTTTTCATAGAGGTCCGAAGCGCCCCCTTTATGATCATTATAGCTACAGATTAATGTATATAATTGGTCGTATCCTAGTATTTCTTCACTTTTCCCAGTTCTTACCCGTCATCAGTGGTTAACCATAGTAGATCAGTTTCCAAACTTGATACTCATGCAAAAGGGATAGAATTAAAACCGTTGTTTCTGCTGTTTTGCAATGTTCTATCACGAATTCCTTTGCTATCAAAAGGAGTTCTGATTATAAGATTCAGAGCATTCGTAACTAATCACTCATTCACATCCATCAAAAGAAGAAAATCGCACAAAATCCCAGAGTAAACGAGCCTTAAAAAATCCCTGGCAGGCAAAGGCAGGAATATTCAACGTATTTTATTATCATTTTTCGCTATCTATTCCAAAGACCCGCCTCTAGCTATTCAAGGGCACTGCTGCTGACGTTTTAAGACATTATTTACCACCGGAAATCATGATGCATTGCTTGCAGGCATTATAATAATGGCAAGGGGTTTTTAAGGCCTGTTTACACAAGCGATTTTTGCTGCGACTTTGGGTGCGACTTACTTCTTTTGATAAATGTGAACGAGTGGATAAGTCACGGATGTGCAAATATAGGCACTTACACATCGAAGTTTTTCCAACTGTTCACTCGTTCACATCTATCAAAAGACGAAAGTCGCACCCAAACTTCGCAGCAGAATTTGCAAGTGTCATTTGCAAGGGCCTTTACATATTCTTCCACAAACTTGTGAAATATACGGCAACGTGTTTGCAAATTTAAATAGTCAATACGAACGTTAACGGTTAGTAAACTGCTAGATTGTATAGTCGATGGGCTAGTTATACCATTTAAATCAGTAAAAGTTAATAAAGTAAATTTCAGTGCAGTATCTTGAAGACCTGAAACAGGTGTTTATATCTATGATATCTCAATTAGCAATGATTGAGGCAAAGCTGAGATAAATGTGTGCTATTCAGCTTGGGTTCTCTTTGCCTAAACATTCCAATTAAAAACCTCTAATGCTTCCTAAAGAATCCCAGAAATGCGTTTTCCGATGTGAATTCCTAAATAAATTTCCCATTAACAAAAGGGAGAAAATAAATCTGATTTAAATCACCGTCACAGTAACTGAATAACAATCCAGTCATGTGACCAATCAAGTCAGAAAAACAAATATATCATATATAACCATAGCCTAACGCAAGTCAATACACATTCTTCGTTCTCTGAAGGCAGTTTCACTTAGTGTCAAAACGTATGTTCGCATCTCGTCAATGTGTCGTCGCCCACGATATCAGCCTCAGATTGATAACGCGTATAGCCATGGAAACGTCATATTACACATGATTTAAAGTGCTGATAATCTCATGTGCTCGGCCCACCCGTGAGAAAAGAGCTTTCCCACTGACGAGCTGGTTAAAAATGAAAATATAAAAGAAAAAATGATGTAGGACATAGGACAAATTATTTTTCTAGCTGAGATTTTCTCAGCTATTTAACTGGGAAAAATGCAGCTAAATATATCCTTTTATATCCTTCTATACCCTTCGAAGACATAATACGCGCATATATTAAATGAGCCACATTACAGAAATAGCCACTTGTCAACTAAACATCGACAAACAAAAGTGAGTGAAGTATGTTGGGAAATTTTCCTTCCTGAACGTAGTCTATTCCCGCACAAAAATAGATAGAGTGTTGAACAGACCTTGAGAAACCTTCAGTATGGAAAAAATATAACCCAGACAGCTTACCCAGTTTTATAATAAATTTGATAAAAATATAGCTTCAGTTTTTTTATCTCAAACAAATCAATTGCATTTGGTCTCAGCTGTGCCGGACTATGTGTAATAAAGTAGTTCGTGGAAACTGGAAAGGGTAGTCCAGTGACTGACTCTAATAAGACTGGAATGCTATCTTCCTTATTTTGACTTATTATTGAGTGAAGCCAAGATAGCGGAAGCCTGTCTTGATGGCACTCAAGGTTCAGCGTGTTCCGTGAAGTATTTCTAACAGTTCTTCGCATTGAATTCGTGCTCTAACTTAATTAAGACGAGACTTAAGTGTTTCTGTCTTTTATTCGAGCAGCCTTGAATATGATACACGTTTGACGGTGCCCGCGAGCTGAAGACGGAAAATTGCCAGATTATAAGAAACCTTTTGCCCTCTCCGTGGCTAACTCTCATCACATCCTCGGTCGGATCGGAATACTATGAGTTATACACGAGAGTTTGCCGTCGGTGTGATGGATAATCCGCTTTGTTCCACTTAAACCCACTTCACCTATTTTCAAACTCTGCAACAATGACAACAGCATGAATAACGAGACATTCATTTAGCATCCTTTAGCGTGCTTTACGTACGTGGGTATATGAATCGTTGATAGGATTTTAATGACAGAAACATTACGCCCGATTAGGCAATTCATCTACCACGCACGGAGTCTAAAAGTCTGTAAAAGAAGAGATTTGTGGTTAAAATTATTCCAGACACCGCCGCTATTCGATATTTGAAAAAACACTCAATCCGGCGATTAATCTTATATTGAAAATTCATCTTCAAAGCTTTTAAGTCAGAGGGAAACAAGGATCTTATGTCTGACATGGTATAGTGCTTTTGTTCTCAGAAATATTTTCGGCACTGATACTCCTAAAATACAATAATTACCTATGCAAAATTTCAACTGTGATTACAATAACTTTGAAACTGCGAACTAGGCTTGTTAACATAGAGATAAAATGAGAGAAAGGAGGATCTATAGACATGTAGCCTATAGTTGACAAATTTTTCACAATAGTTCTTGGCTTCGATTAGAATTGTGTGTCAGTTTTCCACTCGAGGTAAAAACTAACGACCATTAATCCTCGCGAAATAATCCTTCGTTCGAGTACCGCAAATTATTACCAAATTGAAAGATTAAAAAGCCCTAAACTTGTTTCTTCGATCGAATTGAAGCTGTGGTGAATTTTCACCGAAGTATATTTTGAAACGGTATCGCGTGCCGTTTTCACGGCTTGCGTATAATTGTTACATTTAAATTAATTTCCACATCAACGCCTCGCCTCTAATTAAGATATTCTCACTTTCTGCGTTCTGTCAACAACAACATTACGTTGTTTTCCTAAGCCTATTAACGCTTTTACGTGCATGCTTCCGTACTTAAGGTCCTCGCAAAGGAAAACATTTAGGCGTGCCTGTCTCATTATCCTGTGTAAGCCTCACAAAGATGTACATAGCAATGACATGTCGGAAAGCCAAACCCAGCTTAGCCACTTTCACGGCTCAAATATGCATTATGGATGTTTTCCTTTTGTGTTTACAAGCTTCTCCGGATTGGGGGCGAGCGTTAAGAATCAGACAGAAGTGGCTAGCGAACACTTGCGTGAGGCAGCGGTTTACCGGTTGGGAATACAACATTGCACGTCGAAGTTCGAGAGAATTAAGAATTTTTGACACAGAGATTCGGGAAATCTTTCTGCGATGAAGCGTTTAGGAAATTACACAGTGATCAGGTTTAACATCCACAAGGAAACACCACCTACTGGTAAGTTGACACTCAAAAGTTTCGATTCTGGAGCCGGTTTAGTTCATTACGACCGTTTGTATATTTCGAAGAACAGCTAGTTGAATTTTTAATTAGCAAAATAATATAATATAATAATAAGGTTATAAGATTAATAATTTTGAGCCTCCTAATAATAAAAGGGAACCTTTTATACATAAGTTTAAAAATACAAGTCAAGAGTTTTCATTATGTATTTGTAACGCCAAGATAGCCAATTTTGTCACAAACTCGTCAATAATTTTATTCAGACTTGTTAAAACCTCCCACATGCATGGAGTATTGTAACTTCTCAGAATACCGACAACAGGTGAATGGAAAAACAGTTTCTTGAGTTGAACGGTGAAATTCGTCGCAATAAAACCGTATTGCTGTATAACGGGGGCTGACGTATATTTATACAGACGCGGTGTACGTGTACACTCGTGCTGTTTTGTTCAATTTTTCTTCCTGTACTCTTCCTGCTCATCCTACTCTATTTTTGACTGATAAATTTAAATTTCATAATGGGTGCATAGTTCCGAACATACTCGAGTCTTGACGCAATTTACTCGAGCGAATTGCGTACTGTAGCGAAATATAAATATTCTGATGTCATATAAGCCGTCAACAGAATTGCGTGTGCAAAGTTGTGGTTTAACCTATCCGTTCCTCTGTAGTTCTTTTGACTTGTGCGTGCAACTCGCGCGCTGGTCAATCGCGTGCCGGAACGTTGATAGCTACGAGCAAAACGCCTTTGAGTATAAGGGTCCCTTTTAAGTTCCTGACAGACGCGATTTATTTTTTGAGAAGCTCTATTTGTTTCGCTGAACAACAAGTGTTTGACAAGTTTAACTTTACAAATACTTGTTCATCCTTGCCGACATGGACCAGGTTTTGAGGCAGAAAAACTGTTCATATGTAGGGCTGACCTCATTGAAGTATAATTGTTTATCGTAGGCAGAAAAAATTAACTGAGCGAGGAAAGTTTCCAGGAGAACTACCCTCTTTGCGGGGCTTTAGGCCTTGAGATTTGGCAGCTCTATTCAGTGATTATAATACATGTGAGGGTAAAGCTTTCTTGATGGATTTCAAATATGTTATCTTAGCTTCAAAGTTCAAATGTATCACTGGCAATTATACTTATAGATCTCCAATTTATGCTAAAAACCTCATGAACTTGTTGCCAGACACAAGGTCGGTGCCCAGAGGCAAATGCAATTAATCGAAAAGTGTTTTGTGAAGAGCACAAACGTTTCACAAAGAATTTTCATCATCGGAACATGATTGGTCATAAATTAGCCACAAGTGGGTGACGGCTGGCCAGTTACACCAGTTTTTAATGCTTTTGATCGATCTATAAATGCTCTGATGTACGATACAAGTATAGTCCGTAATCTGTTCTTTTGGTCGAGTTTTGCATCTGAAAGGGGTATTAAATTATCTATATAGCATATAATGTGAAACGTTTACTTTTTGAACCATTTGAAGTCAATGTGCGCATCAATGTTACTAACTGTCAATAATATCACCATCACGAGTACCATTAACCCTAATTATACGAGCAACATCGCATGATTATTTGTTTTTTACATGCATTAATTAATATTTTATGATAAAAGTCTAAAATATTTGTAGCGGTTTATTGCCAGCCTTTATAACTTTATCATGCAAGCATGCTAGCTCCTTGTCAAAATCAAAAAGTCTTACCAGACTTTTATCCAATCATGATTTTGCACTTTGGCAGAATTTTCGCTTATCTTTTTGGTCTTTCATAGTTCCTCCAGAAATATATTTGCATACAAACTGAACAGCCGACCGCCGTTTTGTTTATTTTGCGGGAAAATCGTTTTTAAATTGTACTTCTGGATCAGTACAGAATGAAATAGCTGACAACTGTACTCCGCTCGACCAATCAGCATCCAGCAATTTATCACGCTAATAATAACATACAGTTATTGAAAAATTATGTTTAAAAAAAGCGAAGAAAGGTTTCGCAACTTAGCATTATTATACTCTTGGCTTATCTTTTGATGAAACGCATTGCAAGAGATATCCGGTTCTTTGTAAGCACATCCTCGGGATGTTAAAAGGTTTGGTGTACCTCAGCTAGGCTGGAGAGGGTACTTTCCGGTTTGATATAAAGGAATAAAGAACATAAAATCAATATCATCGGTAAATCACAAGGATTACTGCGACATGCCAAGGTCAGGGATTACCGATAGCGAATTAGAATACAAACTCGTCAATACATTGACCTGACATGTTTTAAATAACACAAGATGAAAAACAACTAAGGTTTAAAATTATTTAAAGAGGTTTATGGCATGCAAACGGCGAAGCAATTGTATTGTAGTCTTGACGGCTAATGTCAACATTGTTATTAAGCTAAATAAAGCACCAGGTTTTTTAAACCAAAGCCGCCTGAACGATGCAAATTAAGACAAAGGTGTGTTGGTTAATAATTCTCTGTTTGTAACTGAATAATTTACTGAATGACAAACTGTCTTCCTTATATTCTTCTTATCTGCTAAAATCATTAGAGGAACCTTTAAATTCCGTGTCTTCTTTCTCAGGAAGAAGCAAAGTGCGCATTTAAGTCTGATAATGCTATTAAGCTTGTTACAAGTTGTAAACACTTGTTTATAAGTTGGTACACCAAATTAAAACAGGCCGTGCGAAGACAGCTTTATTGTTGACAGCGTGATAACAGACGTGTAGCAAGTCGTTTAATTTGTGACGCCTTTTTTGGCATCGAATCGTCTTAGCTTTGCTGCGTCTACAATAAAAATGGCCGCCACAAAAAATGGACACTTACAGGCTTAAGTCGTCTTCGCTTTATCTACGCATATATTAGTAGCACAACTAATTTTTTAGAAGTGTGGAATTAACTGCTTGGTGTAAATTCTGTGTCATAGTATTAAGTCTATGGTATTAAGTTAAGTTTATGAATTTTGCATGTACGGTTGTACTACGTACAAAAATAGCTTCTTTCCGCGGCTCATTGATATGATAAATACAAAATATTTGAACTTTGATGGTCGTTCAAAACTTGACACATTCTAAGACGTTCTGTCTGGTTGTATTTCGGTACTTCTGCTTCGATCCATAAAGTTGAGTATATAAAATTGAAATCATCCATTGAAACGATGCGTAATCTGCATGTCCAGTCTTTACCAACGCCCTAATCGAAATTGTCAGTGTATAGTAATTATAAGAATTTTATAATCTATTCTATTAGTTCGGCCTCTTGATGGAACGGATCACCCGTCTGGCACGTGATCCGATTAGGAAATACAAATACAGCCGGACCATGACCATGCATGACCAGTACACTAATTGTAGCTAGTGTAAGGAAATAATCCCAAACAAGAGGTAAACGAGTTTTCTCCACATCTAGTGTCAAGCTACATATTTATAATATTAAGTACCGCACCAAGCAAAAGACGTTGAGCCTGCTGTACTAGAAGTTACAAGCAATGGACTCTATGTGAACTGGAACGTTAACTTGGTTTCCATCATTCTTTGAAGCCAATTTGAAGCCGAACTTGGCTCCATTGCCAGTCCATTTCCATTGTTTTTTTTTATATTTAAGATCGAATTTGGGCTGGTGCATATTTTCGAGCATGTTTAGAATCGAATTGACGTTATCACTCATAGTCACCCAGCCATGTCCCGCGATTCGGGTCGAACGTGACATGCAGTCGTACTTGTCTTTAGCTTAGCTTATTAAGAAATTTCCAAACACCCTCTCTTGACACGTCCATGATATTCGTCATTCTACCTTGACACAATTTAGGCTAATTTCAAACTAACATTTAAAGATTTTTGGCACTTTCTCGACCGCAATTTGTCTCAGTAATTAGTCTATGTTTGAAAATAACGCACCAATTTTCTCGGCCTCAGCAACCTAGCATTTGTTTTGAAAATTCAAAATGAATTTTTCTATTTGCCGTTGGAGGGTTGTCGTAAACGTCAAGCTAAAGTTCTCTTCTCTCTTAAAGCTAACGTGGGTTTATGAATACGACCGTTACATGTATAAGTGTATTCAATAAATGTTGTTTGAGAAGACTTTTAAACATTATTGATGAGTTCTGATTTCAACTATCCTAAATTGGTGATTTTGCTGGTATGCGTGTACGTGTGGGTAAGACAAAGTGTAACTTGGTACTCCACACTTGCATCACGCGTTGTTATATATAAAAAAAACCTCGATTATAACGTCACGTATGACCTGCAGAACTTTGTGAGAACGTTAGAAGAAGTGATACCGAAATATTTCTTTTCCGGCGATTGCTACTCTTATACCAGCAACAGGTAATCAAAGAGCTTGTTCAACATTTTTGCGATTGTCCATAATAATACATGGGGTCACTATAGCTGAGAACGATATAGTATAAATTATACGAGTATAACTATTGAACCATATCTATGGAGAGAGCTCATTGTTTTTCTCAATAGCAAACCGCTTTGATATATTACCTAACTCCGGTGATATATAGCTACGGAGTCCAACTTCTCAGCCAGACTTGCCAGAATAAAAACTCCGTTTCCTGTTATCGATAGATTTATATCAATCTCGATCATTTCTTTTCATACATACAGTCATTGTTGTAATAAAAGCGATTAACTGTTGCACGAGGTTGTGAGTCCATTGGTTTTTTGATGCGGCGAATAATTCCAGTTTTGCCGTGTTATTTGATGTTAATCTGAGAATTAGACGGATTTTTGTTGTCTAAGCTTTATTTGCGTATTTGTCGGTCTGGCAAAAATGTGGTCCGTCAGTAGCTCCCACACGTCTGCATTCATTACCCATTGCTATTTTAGAATTTTGGTCAGGAAAATGCATCACTGATATACAGCTATAGTAATAGATTTGGTGATTTGCACTTTCTTTGTCTCATCAGTTATATCAAAATGAATTAATTGTTTATCGATCGTTTTTCGGGGGAACGAAGCCGCAGAAAGTGCCAGAAACATGCGAATTCTTTAATAAGATCTAA